AAAAATCTTTTTTAAGTAGATAAACTAAATTTTTTTTTATCAAAATAGAAAGGTCAAAATAAAAACTTAACCGAAAAACAGTAAGTCAAAAAAGGAAAATCAAAAACAACAAATACATTTCTATAAAAACACCATGTTTAATAAGTGTATGAATTACTTTATTTGTTTCGTAAAAATCATGTTTGATAAGTGTCATGTCAAACATCTAATCAACATTTTCATAAAGTCATTACGTATTCGTGAGATCTACGTCATTAAATAGAAAGTTTAAGAGACATTGTATTTTTAGCACAAAACAGCCTTGACAGTCTTTCTACCAAAAAGAAAAGAAAACAGCCTTAACAGTCTTTTATTTATATATATATATATATATATTTTCTATAATAACAATGATTAGAACTTAATAGGTTAAAAGTATTAGTGGAAAATATTAAACTCGAGATATAAAAGTGTAAATTATAAGTTGTCCTTTAAGATAATAAGTGGTTATTAAGTTACAGTATGTGAAATGCAATCTTTTATATCTTTTAATTCTTTGTTCATATGTATTAGATTCATACGGTCTACCTTTTACTTAAAAAGAAAGAAAGAAAAAAAAGGAAATGGGATCAACTTTTTTTTTTTTTTTGATGTAAGAAATGGGATCAACTTTATACATAAAAAAAAGACAGCTAGTAGTTCTTTTTTTTTGGGACACAATGAGATCAACTTTATACTACTTTATACAATGGCAGTTTATTTATTATTTATTTTTTCTTAAAGTTGCTTTAGTTGTTTAAAGCTTTCGAAGAAAACAAGACACCAATCCAAAAAGAAAAACAAAAGCTTGAAAAACACTAGAAAAGCAATTACACACCAAAATCCAAAGGACTAAATTGTTGGAAGTAAAAAAGTGAAGAGACTAACTAAGATTATAGTTTCAGTGAAAGCAAAATGACCATTCGATTCAAGAAGATCAGATTAGAAGAAGACAAGATAACATGTTGTCCTTTGATTCCGTGATGACAGGGTCCCTCTTGATCTGTGCCCTGACACGGCAAATCAATTAGTACAACTATACCAGGCGGTAACCCTAACCAGTCCACATGGTCCGAATATTCAAGGACTTCCAAATAATTAAATCATTCAAAATGCAAGGACTTAATCATAATTAATCTACTTACTTGGAGCCTTTTTATTTTAAATTTCAAAAGAAAGTCATGATATTTT